TTGGTAGGGGGGGGGCGCCATACTACTACTTCTACTACTACTATTACTACTACTACTACTACTACCACCACTACTACTACTACTACTACTACTACTACTACTACTGCTACTGCTACTACTACTAATACTACTGCTGCTACTACCACTACTACTGCTGCTACTTCTTCTACTACTACTACTACTACTGCTGCTACTACTGCTGCTACTACTACTGCTACTGCTGCGACGACCACTATAGGCCTGCTGTTGCTGCTGTTGCTTCTACTACCACCACCACTACGAAAACTTCTGCTACCACCACCACCACCAACACTACTGCTAAGCTACTACTACTACTACTACTACGACGACGACGACGACGACCACTACCACTACTACTACAACAACCACCACCACTACTACTCCTACTACCACTACTCCTACCACCACTGCCACTACAACTGCCAGTACCACTGCAACACCACTACCGCTAGCAGTATCACTCCCATTGCGACGGTGGGTACTGATGCTGCGCATGCTACTTCTACTGCAAGTTGCCAAGAGCTCGAAGCATTCATGCGCTCGGTCCGTTTTGATCCGGGCGCCCTCCAAGTCTTGTGCGATAAAGCAGACACGCCACCGCCACCTTTCTGCAACTCTTGCAGGTAGTTTAATGCTTAACAAGGACTCGAGAGCTGATAACTCCCGTGTCGAACGGGGTGGAGAAAGCGGGAAACCTTGCTTCCCTGAAATGGAGTCACTGGAGACGAAACAGAAACCCTTTTTTTGAGCAGGGGAACGCCCCCAAAACACCTAACCTTGTCCGACTCTGAGCGACTCCCGTGAGCCACCGGCCTGCCGTTAGGCAGCCAAACCTGCAGCCGGTGTTCTTCCGACACTTCCACAGAAGCGTTCCGCCCGGGGCAACAAAACAGGCCAGAGATGCCAGGCCCACCAGGCTGCTCACAGGACCTCGACAAACAAAAGGCGATCCCGGCTGGCCTGCCACCTCCACGCCAACTGTTGTCTGTTGTCTTACCATCCGCAGATATCTTAAATCATCCTATATCCGTAAATCGAACGAATCTGTCTGTCTCCCCTGCAGATCCGAGCGACCCTGGCCCGATAGGTGCTCTTCTGCCGCTGACCTGGGTGGGGGCAGCGGCCACACCCCGACGAAGGAGCAGGCACCTGGCCACTGAACTTTTCAATGAATCTGGCTCATTTTGAACCCGAAGGCTTGGGGCTTCATGGGCCCTCTGCCTGAAGGCATTGAGGCGTGACTCTGCCGCCGCAGAAGAGGAGGCCGGCGAGCTCCTGTAAGAAATGGACGTTGTGCAGAGGAGCGGAGCGACAGAGGTGCAGATCCATCTAAGGCTCCAGAGCCGCTCGGCAATGGCAGCAAGCCGTGGCCACATCGTGGGAGCCTGGTCTGAGCCTTGGCACTCACATCGCTCGCGACGCGCGGGCCATTGAACATGGAATCTGGGACCCAGGCCATCCACCGTCTCTCCCCACATGCAGCCCTCGCCTTGGAACCAAATGCAAACAGAGCTGAAATCTGCTTGACTGCACCCGCAGAAACATGTTTAAGCAACATGCACGCTGCTTCGGATATGTTGGTTGGACAAGCTGAACCACGGCCTCCCAGGACCTTCTCCTTCTTGTCCTCAGGAACTTCGGCCACAGGGTCATTGTCGTACATTCCTGCAAACCGGGCACATGCCGGCGTGCCATGATCATGATTCTTCAGATTTCCTCTCGGCGACTACTGCACGAGCATGCTCATTGAACACTTTCTTGTGGGTCAAAAGTCATGGTTATGACAACGGTACAGTTACACAAGGTCGTTCAGCTCTCTGGAGCGCGGTGCACGAGAAGAGACGTAAGCGTCAAGCTGCAGCGGCATTGTTGGTCTATGTTGGCCTCCAGAACCCCGTTTCAGCCCAGGGCTACCCAGACGGCAAAGCACCAGCCAACTTGCATTAAGCACCGGCAAAATCTCCAAAGCGGAAGGTTCATCTCCTCGCCAGTCTTCGTCAAGGTGGTCTAAATACCTGAGAAACGGACCAGCCGGATGCAGAAACGCAAAAGTCTGTTCTCCGTGTCTGTGACTCTCACGATCGGCAAACTGGTGGGATATCCATTGTGAAACTGCCAACAGGCGGCCGATGGACCCTGGCTATTTTCCCGAAGCAGCTGAAAACGGAAACCTGATTGTCCAAGCGAGGTTTCTCAAACCTCCTGAAGCACTCGAACGAACGTCCCACACGAATGTCCCACCGACAATATGCGGTCACGATTCCAGCCCCACGAGAGAAGGGCTCGATGCCCGGCTTGCACTGCGCGGGACAGAGTTGCTTTGTCACGCCAGACCTGATGTCAGGCACATCATCCGGTCAGTATGTCTGCGTGCGTACCTCTGAATGAAAGTATGTGCGCTGATGCGTGCATCTGTAGATAGACATGGATATTATATATATATATATATACACATGCACACAGACACATTATGTACACAAGCCCGGCAGGTCAACCAAGTGAACCGATCGATCTCACTAGAACAGGGTATAAGTACCTCAAACAAAACGCAGGTGATTGAGTCAATCTGTCTCGCCAACAAAAACATGTCTGAAAGAACCAATGCCTGCCCAGCCAAACTACCCAATGAACCAAAACCAATTGCTGAAGTTCCAGGAGGTGCCATGGGCAACCAGGACTGGGGTCCGAGCTCGACACTCCTCACTCTAACACCACTGCTCGCAGAACACAACACTGCAACGACCAGGTATGAAAATGTATGAAATATGCCGTCAAGGCTACAAGATTCAACCCCGCCTGAATCACTGCCTCTGCAGGAAGCTCAGCCCGAGCTGAGACAAATGCCTCTTGCAAGGGGCTCTGCAACATTGGGAATCTGTGACCGACGAGCCCAACAAGCGTGAGTGCCCACGAGCGAGTGTCTCCCATTGCCTGGCCTCGTCCCAAAAGATGACGGAGCGATTCAGCTGCCCGTGAGCGCGGGAAAACATGTTCTTGACAAAATGCTGGAACAACTGCGTCGGGGTGCTGTAGGTCTTGCCTGAAACGGCCGTACCCGATGCAACGAAAAGCAGCAGAGAAGTCCCGATCCACTTAGCCAAGCTGCCGCCCTCGGAGATGGACAGCCCCTTCCAACATTCGAACGGCACCTCGTCGCTCCCTTGCATGGAGGGCGTGCTCTCGAGCTGCTTGGAAATTGAAACTGTTGGCTGGCAGGTTTGCTATAATTGGCTTCCCTCGGCCACGGGCTAGCTGATGCTAACTAACGATTACCCTCGGTTGCGCAATCCAGAACCATCCCCCGCCTAAGTGCAGGAATTGATCGTGAAAGGTGCTAGTCGTCCATTCTGCAAGCAGGCCCTGCAGGAAGTCGAAAACATCCTGCAGCACGTCCAAGCATCAGTTGGGCCCGACCTAGACGTGCTTGAGGATGGCAAGGAAAAAAGCACCGAGGCCGAACAGTGCCGTCCTTCGTCGGCTTGAAAGCTAGTCGCCGCGACCTTTCACGAGCAAGTTCAAGCAAGTTTCCGAAAGCACCATCTCACTCAGTGGGGCCTCTCCAAGCATGCTTGCTCGAAGAGTTCTGGGTGCGACTTGCTCCAGGAGCTCACGTGCCCAGGCCTGACAACAACACGTGTCATCGGACGGCAGATACCGCGGGTACCGCTTCTTATTTCGCAAAGCTGCTCGCGCAGCGCACACGGCATGACTACGATGCCTGTAACATCAGACGATAGAGTTTAGAGTCAGCGCACCGTATGATACTTTTTCAGTGCGAAACCCACCGCCCTCTGATCCAATTCGGGGCCATGCCACGGCCTCACGCCCCGACTTTTCGTCAACCCTTGACGTAGCTACGCAGCAACATCATCTGGCTCAGCGAGGTTGGAAGAGGACTGAGATTGAGCACGTGAACATGAAACTGGAGAGTCTTCACCGCGGGGTGTGCTTCCTTTCCAGCCGGCCGTGTGCACGGTTATAAGGCCCCTGCATGTCAAACTCGGGCACGACCCGGACGCCGTGCAGCTGCGCAAACTCAACGACGTCCTGTACGTCGCGGATCGTGTACCTTCCAAGGATGATTGCAAATCCCCTTCTCTGCACCCCGCAGTGCACAGTTGCATTGCACCGTGGCTGGTCTGCGTGAGAATGCACGAGCCCAGGTGCCAATTGAATCCAACTTCCGAGGCATCAGGTTTTTTCGAACCAGGTGCTCTCGACGAAACCTTCTGTTCCCCAAAACTGCGCAGTACATGCTGTGGTGCTTCGAAACGGATTGGTTGCTGTTCACGCGAAGCGCGGACGAAAAACGTTCCCCGGGCCTGCTTGTCCTCTGCAAGTGGTCCCCCGGGTGGTTTTTGGGGTCTCCTGGTGGGGTCGTATCCTGCTGATCTCCTGGTGGTCGTGATGGTCGTGGTCGTGTGGTCCTGGTCGCCGTGCCGTCCTGGTGTCGTTGCGGTCGCTGGTGTTCTGGTTGTCGTGGTGCGGCGTCACGGTTTGGGGATCTCGCTTCCACAACAGAGATCGGAACCGGACAAACATATCCCCCATGGCAGAGCGCCTTTCGTCTGCGCTCCATGCACCCTTCTCTGCAAGCTCCGGGTGTGACGAACTGGGCATCGAGAACGACCTGTTCAGTTTCAATTCCGACCACTTCAAGATCCGTAACCGACTGATTGCTGCCTTGCTCGAACACGCAGATCGGATCACAACATCATCCACCAAGCAACAGCAGGTTGAGCATTACAGTGGACGGTGTTTCAAGGGACTGTTGACGAAGGTATGAGGTTCTTGCCGCTACGGTGATCCTTCTAGATCTCTGTGCATATTTGTGCTACGATTCTCACCGGCATCGAGAAGTAACGCATCGGGGCTATGTCAGCTAAGGGGCTCGTCCTCTGTCAAGTGCCAATGCAGCACATTGAGCTTTGCGAAGGACCTGAGCTGCCAAAAGGAAACTGCCAACATGTCCGACGGACTGTCAGGCGAAACTCTTTGATGACCAATCGGTTCGCGTTGTCCTGTTCCTTGCTTCGGGGCTCCCCTGGATTTGCCCGGCGTACCGCTGCGATTCAGCCATGCACACAACGGGGTGAACATTCACCACCAAGCCAACTTGAGCTAGCTGTCCTTGGGCTATGTCATCTCCCGTGCCCCATTTCCCGGGAGCTGCCCTTGCCGACAGGAAACATCGCCTCGATGGTCCGCTTGAGACCTGACATGGCATCAGGGAGCCCCTTCTTCCAGTCCAACCTGGACTCTTTGAATAAACGAACATGGAAAAAGATGATGTACCGAAGCTTCGGTACGGATCGGGGGCAAGAAGTGCCGTGCTGAGTCGACGAGCAGTCCCCGATGTGGAAAGCTCGGAGAGTCCTGTATCAGAGACCGCTTCGGCCTACTTGTCGAGGTCCAGGTCTACTTCGGCACGCTCCAATTCTCCAGCAGGGCTGGAAGTTTCTTACAGTCCTGAATTCGGAATGGAATCTCGTGGATGGCATAGCTTTCCGCGGTGAAATTGTACTCCTCACGGCTGCATCGCAGCGGTTGTAATCGAGTTTCGCATCTATGTTGACTACCACATAAGGCCAAATTGTCTGGATTGCAGCCGTGCATCTACTAGCTGCGAGAGAGTTTCGAGGCCGCGCAGGGCACCCCAGACTGTCTGCGCTGATACTGTCATCTGGCCTCGGAAATGATAGAGGTACTGCGGCAGACCCTCGGCCTGCTCTTTCACGCAAGCTCCAGCCAAACTTGTGAGCTGACAACGTGCAAGACGCACGGCCAATTTGGCATCACCCGGAAATGTCTCAAAGCCCTGCGCATCTTGAAAACGCATTGACCCTCATTTCCAACTTACAGGAAAGGGAACGAACATGAACTAACTATCGGTGATGGACAAGCCTTGGATGGAGACAGCAAGCTCGTAGGACTCGTTCACCCCCAAGTCCAGGGGGGCAGCCAGGTCCTGCAGCTCCAAGTGCACCCGGTCAGTGCCCCACCTAGTATCTGCAAAGCACGTAGCAAACATAGGATGATTGATGCCCAAGACCTACTCGCAAGCACTCCAAAGTGCGCCATGCCCGTCCTTCACCTCCACGTCTGTAGCACTTGCAGTAGAAATAAGCCTGCCAAGAAGCGCAATAGGCTGTACAGCTAGGGAGTCTTAGAGGGTTGGCATTTCTGATGAGGTGAGCACATGCGGTGCCACAAGCGTCTCCATTGACACCAATATCTACTTAGTAGTCTACTGGAGACACACCGGCTGCCTTCCTTGCTGCCGGTCATCCGCTCGATGCTTCCGTAGTCGGCGCAGGCTGGCCAAGGCGGGCTCTAAAGCCCAAATGCACACTTCACAATCCAAGTGCCCCTTAGCCTTCCCTTCATTGGAGGATAGTGCAGGAGCGCTGTTCGTGCCTGCTGTTCAGAGCATGGATCATATCCTCCTGCAGAAGTGACAAGCTTTCCTCGGGGTGGCATGTCGAATTTTCAAGATGGCGTCCTAACACGCAGATTCAGCTAGGTTTTCTCTGATCAGAATTTCCGAGGCACGACGTCTGCATGATGAGGGAAGAACAGAGCCTGGCCGCAGAGTGGAATTCGCACCGCCAGGCTTCAACTTGTAAACCGCACAGTGGATAGAGACCAACAGGCTATTCGGCCACAGATCTGGCCAGCTACTTCTACGAATTCTTTCCTTCACGAAAACCATATGGACCTTTCAGCTGTCTGCCTTTTTCCCGGCCTGATACCGCCGAAACGCGTGCTGCAGCACGCGGCAACCAGCCTTGTTTGCGATTATTGTCTGCAGCCCTCTTGAATACTCGAGCATGGGAAGTGCAGGTGCAAGTCCAGGTTGCATCAGGAGGAAAAGATCAGATTGGATCGCTCTCTCACACAGAAAGAGCCGCCCAACCGTAGACGTGTGCAATCTTCCATCTGACTACAGGCTGGTTTCTTTCCTACTTCAGACCCTTCTAGATTTGTGTACGCGCCAAATCCGGGAAATTAAACATGGAACATGCCGCATTCGCAGTATGACACGGAACAGGCTTTTAACTCGTACTGGCGATCACATTCCGGTTCGGGAGTGGCTCGGGCTACATGACGACCTCGGAGAGGAGTAGGCAGGAGAGTGAACGACGCCAACTAGTACAACATGGAATGATATTGATACCGTAAATTCAGGGTTACAATTTGCCGTTTGAGGTAAACCCGTGCCTGGGTTTGCCTGGGTAGCAGTTGGATATGCTGTGCGGTGATGCATAAGAGACCCAGTCTTGCTTTACGATCTCTGCTCAGTGCTTTTGCGAGCACAGCAGTCTCGTCGAATTCCATGGTCGTGCCGGTTTTCAGCCACTTCACTACATCCCTCCAGTCCAAGGACGAGCCACGGGAGGTTCGTGAGAAGCGCACGCTGCCGGTGCGTGAAAGCTGTGCCTGGCTCGGCCACCATGCATCTCTTCGGCTTGAGGCCAAGACACGACGGACTGACACTTCCACCTACCTGTTAACTTACCATGCTCAAAGCTGGCAGTACTCTTTTTTGGGCGCCTGTCGTGGTCCACTGTCAGCGTCCCAGAACCTGCAGGTTGGCGAACATCAGGGCGTGATCTTTCTTGCGCCGCTCATGCAATTCTATGCAGTGCAGAAGTCCCTCGGCCCCGCAACTACCAGACAGAAACATCACGTTGTCCAGAAACATGCCATCTGAAGCCAAATCCTTCGGTCGACCGGAGGAGCTCTCTCGACCCGCATCAAACTCCTGAGAAACTGTTGCCTCCGGGCTCCACTCGCCGCACGAGAGGCCAAACGCGGCCGGACAGTTGGTCACGGAGGTCGTAGGAGGAGGGACCTAAGTCAGCTTTCTGGCCCTTACACACCGGGCCCTACTGAAATCCCGGCCCACGAAGCGACCGCTCGCAGTCAAAGGGCGCACTGCTGCGGCGCGCAGAAGCAGGATGCCGAACCTCTCGCAATTGACCGTCACGCTGCTGAAGGCGCTAGAACGTGCTTTTGTTTGGCTATCGTACCGCCAAAAAGTGCTGGAAAAGGTGTTGACACCAATACGCCAATATGCACACCTGTTCGCGATCCTTCGACCCTCGGCTCGACTGGAACCTCTCTAAACCCAGAGCTGCCAGAGCTGGCATATTCCCGCCAGGAGGCCATAGCAGCCGCAGCCCGCGGCTAAGCCGAGCGGGCACCTCGGGCTGTTTTCGGACTTCGGCCTGCCTAAGACCTGAGATCCAGATCTGAAAGCCAAGGGATGACGTGTCTGCTGCCACCCAGCTGCCATGGAAACTCGCTGTATTGGGCACACACACGTAGGGTCTTGACTTGAGCCTCAGACCTGCTCAGTCAACCACGAACCAGTAGCAGGTTTGTCCCAGCAGCGCAGACAATTGCGATAAGGTTTTCTTTAAGCCTGCTTCTGACCGACATCTCCCCCACGCTTTTCCCTTCCGGCAGCCGGTCAGAAAGTCGCAGGATCAGGCGCATAAAGCACCTCTGTGACGAACAATGTCTGGGCGAGCTTGAATTTGCGACCTTCATTATTCCGATGGTTTCGAGGGGAGGAGCCCAGTGGTCTCAGAGTCTCGGAATGTAGTGTCTCGAAGACCAGGAGATTTTTGTGGTGGACTAGATGAAGCCGCCGCAGACCAGTATCGGCAACAATTGAGGAAGAACTTGGAGGAGCTCTCTGGCACGCCACAGCCTTGAGTGCGCGTGCCTCCGGCAAGAGGCTTACGTGGGAAATGATTTCGGACTCTTGTCTGCCAAGTAAGACCTGGGGAAGTCGTGGAACCAGGGCCACGGCTTTCAGATTGTGACTTGCTAAGACAAGCATAAAGCCTGCATCAGGAGCACTCTGCAATTCGGTGCAGTCTTAAGCTGCATGAAAGCTCAAGCTAAAGTTAAAGCTTCGGTTGGGCTCAGGGTTAAGTTGAAGATGGAGCTCACTCCGGTTCAACCTTCACTGATTTTTGTCGCGCAGTCGCCGGCAACACGCAGTCGAGTAATTCGAACTCTGCCTCAGCTTTCTGCATTCTTATGATTCCTTCACACCGGCGATGCATCAACAGCACCTGCACATACAGGATTTCAGCACAACTCCGACACCCTCGCTTTTTCAAGTGCACAGCTGGCCATTTACTTTGGACCTGGGGCTCATCTCGACTCCGAACTCTAAATATTGAATCAAGAACCCTTGGCCAGCTGCTCAGGGCGCGAACAGATCAAAACTGCTTATTGCGCAGCGGATGGCGTAGCAAGGATTGCGTAGCACTGCTGCATGAAGCGCGAGCAGACTTCCAGCACGGGCCAAAATCACGGCAGTCACCAGGGCCCTTTTTGTGTTGTTTTACATCCTGTGCCAACTTTGCCGGGAGCTAGCTGGTTCCCTGGCGACGGCCGAAACCACAGACGAAAAGGATGCCTGGAAACTGCTAAGGGCAGAGGACTCACAACCGTTTTGCGGCCCCGGGCGCCAGCTGTTTAGACTAACCCCAAGTCACAGGCTGAGGTAGAGATTACGGCGCAAGGGTGCATTGCACTGCGACCTCTGCCCAAGTGTGAGCTGTGTCCACCCGGAGTGGCCAAGGCCAGGTCAGGGCTGCAGGGGTGCGGGGTAGTGGAGTTTGGGGCCATGTGCAAAACCGAGGGGTCGTGGGTTGAAAAGGGCTGAGGGCTGCGATTGTAGCCTTCACTCCAGGGTGAAGCACCTCCTGTTCTGCTCACTCCTCGGTAGCATCAAGCTGAGACAAGTTCAGGCCACTCGTCTCTTGGACATCACAGCGACGCATGGCAACCAACCCAGGTCGACTCTCCGAGGATCTCAGGGCCGAGCAGCTGTGTCACGGCCTTGGTCCGCGGTTTGCATCTGCGAGACGGTCACGCGAGCCCCCCAAATAGGAAGGCAGCCCTGCTGACCGGGACAGCTAGAAATTGACAACAAGCTAACCTCGCGCTAACAACCAAGCTCTCGCCGCCCGGGGGCGATCCGATGGAGCTATGCTATGCTGCAATGCTGTTTAAGTTGTGGATGATGTGCAGCCCCCACCACGGGAGGTTGACCAAGTCGACCACTACCAAGGCGGACCAGCCACGGCTCATGACACAGAACCAACACCACACCCACAAAAGCAAAACACACAGCCCGAAACTGCACCAGGGTCGTGGCGAGCCAGCAGGGACTGCAGCCGCGGCGTCTTTCTTCCTCAGCTGCTCTTCAGTCTTGCTACCCTCACATGTTTTGCTACTTTCTGCAAAAAGCACACAGCATGCCAAATACTTCCGCGAGTCTTTCGCGTTTCAGGAGTTGCTGACATCTGACTCTTTTGGCACATTTCGGTATGTAATGGCGCCGCATGAGACAAGTCAGGCAGACAGAGAGTCTGAAAAGCTCCAGGCCATGAGGTCCAAAAAGTGTTGGGTCAAAAGCGTGCAGTCTGTGCCAAAGTGGCTCTCCGCGCTCAAATCCAGGCAAGCTGCGGGGGTCCCAAGCGCGTCGGCACCGCTGTCAGACCTCGCAGCACTGGCCATTTGCCAAGCAGCCCTTGACGCGCCAAAGGTGAGAATCGATCAGAAAAGCTTGGGTGCCACCAAGTTAGAACTGGTTGGCCTCGCACACCCTAATCAGAACTCCCGTGCCGAAGTCCATGCAAGGCAAGCCGCCACCGAGCTTGCTCAGTGCGAGGGGCTTCGGCTGTGGGACCTCCTTGGAAGACGCGATGGCAAAGCCGCACAGCCGCACAAGTCTGCTATTCATGCTGTTCTGCTATTCCTTGTGCGCTCCCTTGTGCCGGACGATGCCAGGCCAAGGCATCCGAACATCTCAATGCAGTGGAAGCTGCAAGCGCAGGAAGTGACCACAAGTTCTGCTGCAACCCAATGCCAGGATGGGATCAAACGCATGGGCAGAGGGATCGCCGGCATCTGCAGCCCAAGCTTTAGATCAGGCTTTACTTATTCCGATTGCAACTTCGAGTTGGTCGAGCTTCCCACTTTCGGGAGCTGCGAACTGGGATCGGGCATGTTCAAGCCAACATCTTGGGACCCGTACGTTGGTAGCAGAAACACGTGTTCCGGAAGTCTGCGAATTGGGGGCACCTTGGTGCAGCCGAAGCAATCACTAGCCAGAACTGGGCTTCGGCTTCGCGACGGTTGGCCAAAAGCCGTGCTGTGCATCTCAAACACGTCTTATTTACCAAGTGCCTGGCCCTTGTCGCCTGCGACCTTGGCGGGACTCGCGCGGGTACATGAGAAAGGGCCTTGCTGGCTTTTTTTGGAAGCGTGGGCCTGCCCCGTTCTGCGCAAGACGCCCCCCCTCGTGCCGCTCCTGTGAGGCACTCGAAACACCATAGCCGTAGCCCTGTCGGCCCCAACATCAGAATCCTTTTAGTTCGCCGAACTGCGCAGGAAAATCTGCTAGGACTCTTTGGTCCTCGATGTCTAAACATCCGGGCATGTAGTGAACCCTCTACGTGTGAATCTGTGAATCCAGTGAGGTGTCATGCTGCCATAATAGCAGGCTCAACGTGTACGCTCTGCTCTCATCTTTGAGCACCACTCGGCAGGAATTTCAATGACTCCTGGCCATCACGCCGTCACTCCGGCATGGATCTGGAGGGTGCGAGAAGCGACATGACCTGGGTAGGCCCGATGCTAAATTAAACAAGAGCACATGCAAACGACACTGCTGCTGCCAGGAAGCTGCGATGAGCGACAGAAGCAAAGCGACAAGACGGGGCGACAAGCTGCTGTGTTGCGCATACCATACCTTGGCCAGGTGTTCAAGGCCGCCGGCACGTTTGAATTGGACAACATGAGCTCTGGCTAAGCTCGCCATTTCTCGGCAATTCCAGTGACCCTGTCTTGCAACACATTGGCCACATGGTGTGAAGCTACACTTCGCCCCTAGATCGGTTCGGCGGATGGAGGAAGTCTCGCACCACATGCTTGATGCCTGGTAGATGCACGCACGAGCATATCCCCACAGGGCTACGTAACGTCGAGGATGCCAGATACCGTGGTGCGCTTGTCGTCATTGGAGCCCGCGGCATTTCCGGACAAACAGCATCAACAAAAACAGATGATACGGCATACTCTTCTTCCCACCTGACTCAAAACTCCTCTCTGGCCAGTCATCCGGGACGCTGCGCCGGCGGCCGCAAAGAAGCAGGATACACCTGAAGCAGCACCAGTGAAGAAACTATACTGTGTGGTGGCATGGACTCTTCTGCGACATCGCAGTATTTTACCAGTGCTTTGTCGGCATTAGGCCCTCAAGCCTCACCTTCTCAGTAGCAACTGTGGCTCATCTCGTGGCGAGGCCTGCGGGCCTGGGAACCTTGATATTACAGTTGCAAGCTTGTCAATGTCCAACAATTTCCTCGTGACTGTCTGGCTCGCGGTCTATCATGTATTTCTTGATGTTCTGCCGAGAAGCTGGGGCAATGAGAGCAGAACGAACTCTGAAGGACCCTCACCCCGAACAACGACATCGACCGACACAACCCTTATCGCGGCAGCCAATTTAGCCCCTCCTCTGCCCTCTCTGTTGTGGCCGAGCACCTCGGAGTGCAGGTGCCCCAGAAGCACCGAGGCGCAGCGCATTCCGAGAGCGGTAGGGCCTGATCTGTCTGTCCGTGTGCACAGACACAAAATACACACACACACAAACACACAGGATCACACAGAAGTAGAGTATACGCCTGTATAGCAGGCAAACATGCAACCAAATACCGTTATGCTGCAGAGTTCTCTCTAGTCGTACCCACAACTGTGTTATATTTGAGTATGCTTGTATAGTGTGCTTCTTCGTTCGTTTTGGCCAGTACAGGGGAGCAGATGTATCTTACCGTTCACAAGTCGCAAGTGCACCCAGGGGCAAATGTGTCCTGCTTTACTTCTCTTCCACTGTCACTTCATCCATGCCACGCTTCCTGTCCTACTGCCTCTTTGTGTTCGTCTCTTCTCGCAGCATCCGAGCCAAGCATAGTTTGCAGAAGCATGACTCTTTGAGATGCTTCTGAAGTGCAAGTCCAGGCCGAAGGGTTCATATTGCTCAAGCTCCGGCTTGACCTATACTACATTGCCACAACGACCCGTAGCGCTCAGCGAAATCTAGAAGTTCAAACACACTTTCGTCATGCTCTGGACGACTAAAGTCCAAGCCTCATCCTTAGGTCTAAGGTGTAGCAACTGCAGCATCTGAGGCTCTGTCTGTGGGGGGGCCCAAGAAGCCAGCGTCCTCAGCTTACAGCTTCGAGCAGAGCATCTGCAAACACGTGCGAGCAGCTAGGAACCGAAATCCTCAAAAGGCTCCGACTCGCAGCTTCAATGCGTGGTGGCCAGAGGAAGAGATTGGCGTGGCACTCTATCGCAAGTTGATTAAAGCTTCATTACACTGGCGACAATCCCACTCTAGCGGTCAAGCCCAGCTGGTGGAAGGATCAAGGCGCCACTTGCATTCGTTTGCCAACATAACCGCCGGCAGCAAGGAGACGAAGCCCACCATCAGCGCCACAGACTGGGTGCAGCGGTCTTGGGTTACCCACGGCGTGGAGCTTGGGGTTCGAAAGCATGGCAGAACATACAACATGACCACAAGACTGCTGCATGCGCAGCAGGAGACAGAACTGAGCCTCTGACTCTGAGCCCGCCAGACACCAGCTAATGTCAAGCAGGGCGCAAGGGAACTGGCCTCGTTCAGGGTGGGGTTGGAGAGGACGAGGAACACGGTGAAACCCAAGAGCCTGGGTTCGAAAAGGCTCTGGCAAGACAAGCGCTTAACACCAGCTAGCAGGAGCACACAAGGTAGACACAGTAGCCATGCCATATCAGGTCGAAGAAAAGATGACGTTTGCACCGAATTCGGGTTCGATGGCACAGAACTGTGCGGCGGACAGGACGAAGGCGGCGCCGATGAGGACGCAGCAGCATCAGCAGCAGAGGCAGCAAGAGGATCGGCAAAGACGAGAAATCGACAACAACAGCCACTGGCATCGCCAAAAATTAGAGACGCAAGAGATGCGAAAGCTCGGTCTGAAGCGACATGCTTCGAGACAGTCTTGTCTGGCAAGATAATGCTTAGCAGCTTGTCCTCTACACAACCACCCTCGATTAAGCTGGTTGGCATGTGGTGAGGATACCAATGCAGTTCCGCGGACAGTCCAGCAACTCAGTAAATAATCACTTGCTCTGCTTGCTCTTACTTGTCTTGTTCATGTCCTTGTTCGTAGCATGTGCGGTCGCAGTTGTCGTTGTCGTTCGTTGCTGCTGGTGTTGCTGGTGCAGGTGGCATCTTCTGGCGGGCAGTCCAGCTGTACCAGATCTTGCAATACTGACGAACATTCTTTGCCGAGCCAACCCATTGTCGAGCAACAAGATGGCAATGCTTGAAACCCGAGGACGAACACGAATACTGCAACCTCATAGACCGGTTTGAATCGAGCGATGAGTGGAAGTCGCACTGAAACTGCCAGGGTGCCAAATCTGGGGGCCCAGGGTCAACACAACGTAGGCCACCAAGCCTTCCGGCCAGTGAGAACTCAAGTTCTCGGGGGCTCGCAACGTGTCAGCCGTGGACAAGGCACACAAAACGTGTAGTTGGGCTTTCGGGGCACCTCAGCCTTCCCTCCTTGGTACCAAGCTTCGTTGGATAGGTTACTACCAAGGAGCCCTGGCAGCACTTCCGAGGATCACCAGTCAATAAGTCAATATTGAAAAGGGTGAGCGGAGTGTCTGCTTTGCATGGCCACCCAAAGTGGTGCAAGATTTCCTCCATCACCAGTAGCATTCACGAGATTTCGCGTGCGTTGGAAAGCGGGCGAGCACACGCGCAAGCTTGTGTGTGTGTGTCTAACCCTGTCACTAAGGGACAGTCATGTTTCCATACCGGCGGTGTCAATTGGTTCCAATGGCAAAATCTTGGACCACCTCGGTATCCATCATCGTCAACACTCAAAGGGGTGCGGGGCTCTGCTCTTGGTACTAAGTAGGTGGTGCAAGATTTCCTCCATCAACAGTACTGCTAGTAGTTTCGGCAACTGAGACAACAAAATGCCCGGATGCACACTTATCCAAGTATGTCTGCAGAAAAATGTCAATTGTCATTTATGGCATACTTCACAAAAGACAAATACACACTCTCCGCCCTAGAGTACACCTTCCATACCGGCAACAGGCTCCTTGCAGCAGTGGTGACACAACAGTCGGACAGCAGCAAAACAAAATCATTCCTGCGATGCGAGATCAAGGCAACTACGCCCTGCAGAAACATCGTGTTACATGACAGCAGGGCATTAGGCATCCCCACACCACTCACGATCGCCTGATCCGAAAGGCCATGAGATTTTGACTCAATCACCGAACGAGCATCCAAGCACTCCCGGGCTTAACTGCCGCGTGTGCGTACTTCTGTGCTCATGCGCATCCTATGGTCCGTATTCGCGGGGGTGCGAGCAGGTCAGAGTTGGAAGATCAAGGGACCGAGAAGAACATCGGCTGCTTGGGCGGCGGTGGTGGTGGCGGCGGTGGTGTTCTGGGTGGCCGTCTCTGCATGGAAGCAATCCCTGTACATAAGCTATCACGACCCGCACAGCAGATCACCCCGCAGATTTGCAAAACGCACACCAGCACCGCCTGCACGCGGTCGCAGCGTCTTCAGGTAGGCCTCGCAAGTCCAGAGACGACCGATCCTGGCTCCAAGGCCAAATGAGTGGAACAGCAAAGCAGAACAGCAACAGCAGCAAAAAGCATAAGCAGCAGCAGCCGCCGCAGCATTACTAGTCAGTAGTGGTCGGAGGAGTATCAGACGTAGGAGTGCTTAGTAGAATTAGGAGTAGGAGCAGCTGTAGTAGCCGTCGTCGTCGTCGTCGTCGTAGTAGTAGTAGTAGTAGTAGGTTGCATCCTGGGGGGTCGAAACTTGCGCCTTGGGTTTACTTAAGGGGGTCGGCAAAAAACGACGTACAAGCGCTGATGCTCTTACATCTGGGCTTTCGCGTGGTTCCACTGATGATATGCACAGCCTGTCGGCCTGTAAACCCCTCGTAATTGATCCAATTGCAGGCGACGACATACCCAACGTTATTATTCCCATGTAACCGAATGTAACGTGCCTTCGAACCATACGTTGGAAGTACAAGGACTGCTGAGACCAACAAGCATGAGCGTTGATGCAGAGGGTGAGCTGTAGACACACAGCGAACCCGATCACGTCCCGACTCCTGCCACTGCCCAAAACCATTGAACAGCAATCGCTAAGGAAAACCTAAGTCTCGGCAGCTGCAGCAGATAAAAACGTGGCAACCGCCATATCAATAATGACAACAACCACCACCGCTACCACCATCGATTAGCAAGCTTCAAAAGAAGAAAGAGCAACTGGCGGCAGCTGTGAGGCCCGACTGCTCAAGAAGTTCTGCCAATCGGGGGATTCTTAAGAGAAACACCAAAGTGAGGCCAATAACCCGCAGCCCTGCGAAGGCCTCATGCTCGTCATGCAACAGATGACCACAATAGAAATCCTCAGTTTCTCAGGCTCGGGGTTCCTTAGAAAGCACAAAGGGAAGCTTGGCTAAAAAAGATACAGACCAGGCGCAGTGTGCTGAGCGCAACCTGCTTCCGGATGGGCCTCCACTGTGGCAGCTGAGGCGCACTCCGCAGGATAAACACGAGTTGATCACACATATTATACGTAGTACAGCTAGAGTACGTGGAAGACTATAAACAACACTAAAATTGTGAGCATAGTGTCCCACAGTTAAACTTGCCATGCAAAGGTATGTATCGACTCGGGCGAGTTGTCGTCCAATGCTATCTGCAATGCACAGAACCTTACCACATTGTCTCAATAATTTCATCCGGCTCCGAGAACAAAAACCATGTCCGACGAGACGAGCGAGACGGCAGCAAAGATATTTTTATGCGTAGATGTCACCAAGGCGCTATTGACTAGTTTCGACAAGTCCACCTAATTCTTGACCCATGCGGCGAAAATGACGTTTCAAAGACAGGATGGCCCATCATGCAGCTACTGGAAGGATAGACGGCTCCGAAAATTCATCGGCCCATGCTTGCAGATGAAGATGCTCGTGAAACTACCATTGGATAACCGCACAAGAAACGAAGTAGATCACAACCTCCCCAGGCCCCCCACCCCGCAGGATGCCAGGCCTCACTCCCATGCAGACACACTGAAGTTCTTGAGGCTCTTTCACAGCAACCACGCAGGAGCCACCCTGCCCATGTCATGTCCACGAGGCTTACAATGGCAAGGCTGAGCTTTGCAGGCCGCCAGGTTTCCGAGGGTGGCAATCTTACTGTGATATTTAGCGAAGAGGCAACATAAGAACAAGGGCAACAAGGACAATAAAACCAGTAGCAATAACGGCGCTCATGACCATTGTACTTGTCGTCCTTTTCATGATTAAAGGACAAATGCACAGCGATGCAGGGACTTCTCGCCGAACGACCAACACCTAGTGGCTATCCAGGTTTCCACTTGGAAGTGGGCTCAGTGATTCCGCGCACATGAAGTTCAGAACCACAAAGGCTTGCGAATCGGAGCACTCGCACTAAAGCTACCATGCTGGAATCCTGCTGGAAGGCAGGTTCGGATCATTTTACGGCTGGAGGGCTGGAGGCCTCTTTGAGTCCTCGCGCCAAGTACTAATCTGCTTCATCTCTCTGTACAGTGAAGGATGGGAGTGGCTGGCAAGCATCAAGTTGTGCTGGGGCGATGGGGTGCGAGCCGGTTGGGGATCACTATGATTTCATGATTGAAGCTTCCCGGAAATTCACTTCACTTGACTTGTTCTACCTAACCAAACGGAAACCGTAAGACTTGTGGAAAGCTTGAAACTGGAAACTGTGAGAACAAGCGAAAGGTACTGGTAAAGCTTTATCACTGAATGGCCAATAATGTTACGAAATAATTGCCGAACTATCCCAGCTTGAACGATACTTCGCTAAACTATGCTCATCAGCACCCCAGAGATTGCCCGACCTGCCATCCTAGACTATGCAGCGTGTCCATGGGTGAAACAAAGGGTTGTTTGCCACTTTCGGCGGCTGAGCATTCGGAAAGACTGGAAGGCTTGCAAGGAGATGCACGCTTTGCAACCCAGCAGGCTGAAGGTCAGGCTCACCTGCTGCTATAAACTCTTTTTGCATCCAGCTCCCCGAATTAATTACAGACATTCCTACATTGCATTCAATCAGCAGCACGGCCCACCGAAGACTGCGACTTCGTCCCCGAATCAAACCTCCTTGTCAGAGAGCGGGCTAGGGATTTTGCTGGTGAGTCTTCGAGCATCCGCGTTTTCTGCAGCTCGTGGTCCAACGAGGGCAGCTCATCAATCTCGTGAGAGGGGACGTTCAGGAAGGGGAGTGCTGCGTTCAATCGCTTCTCCAAGCGAAACTCCATGGATCTCAAGCCTTCGAAGAGTTTGAGGATGGAACGCTCCCTTGCAGGCTCCTCCACATCAGCCAACATCGTCAGGAACTGGCGGTACAAGATCACCTTCTCGTTCGAGGACGTTCGGTATGTGGTGCAGTAAAGCATCTCCAACAAGTTCTCCGGGTCCAGGCCAGAAGCTGCACAGAGCTCAGCCAGCAGATCCGGATCACTTAGGAGGTGCAGCATTTCTTCCTCAGAAATCGAGCCGTCACTGTCCGAATCCAGCCTGTGGAAAATCGCATTTAGCCGCTTCTTGGCGTGTGCCTGAGTCTCCCGGGCTTCCGTTTGGCGGTCGAGTTCATCCTTTGCCCTTGAAGCTTGCATCATGTTGTCAGAGATCACAGAGGTGAGGATGGCAAGCATCATCCAGTTCGACAACATCATGAACACGTAGAACAAGATCTGCCCGACTATTGTGGTAATGATAGGCTCAACAACAGACTGGTCGTCGTTCATCAATTTGAACAGGGCTAAGAAGGACCGCCAGACAGTTCCAAAGAGCTCCACCGCTTCTTGCGGCATGTCATCAGGATGATCGTAGATGTAACCCTCACCCACCAAGCATCTGAACACCAGAGAAGCTGAATACAGCAGCAGAAAGGCCAGAACGACGACCCAGCCCAGACTAGCAAGCGACTCCACAACGCCGTTCATAAGCTTGTACAGCTGCTTCACCGATCTCAGCAGCCGAGCGAGTCGCAATACACGGAGCACGCGAGCAACCCGCAAGCTTTTCATTAAGGGCATTGCAACTGTCGAGGCTCCACTGGAGCCCAGTAATGCCTCGTGTATGTAGTGGTACGTTGGAATCATCCACTGCTCAACCACACCGAGCATGACGATGCTGAAGTCCATGTAATGCCACAACCAATCTTCATGAATAAAATATTCACATCCATGATAGGCTACCCTGACCGTGAGCTCGAAAGTATAGATGATCAACATCACCTGTTCCAGCATCAGCCAGTAAGGAGAAGGGTAGTCCAACTCCAGCCACATAATTATGGCATTCAATAGAATCATAGCCATCATGAACGTCTCGAAAGCTGAGTGCTGCGTCCAGGAAAGGTCTGATTGCACAAGGATTCGAAGCAACTTCAGCCCTCGTGCTACCCGCAACAATCTCAACAGTCGCAGAACCCTTAAGCCTTTCAGGCTTACCGTACCTCCAAAGGAGCTGCCGATGAGAGGAAGGACTACCTGCTCGATAATGCCGCTTAGCACAATCAGTAGGTCCAGCCAGTTCCACCACACAATGGAGCAGTGACCAAAGATCAAAGCGCGCTGGTAGTAGGTCGCCCTGAGAACAAGCTCCAGAGTATAGAAAGCGAGAAAGGCGCCATCAGCCCAGGCAAACCACCCGAGCTTCTCAGCTGACTGCCACTCCACTACCATCACGACAAAGTTCGCGATGATCACCGCCGAGCAGAGAGCCCCAAAGACATGACCATGCACAAAAGCCAAACTCTTGGGGCCTGTTGCATCGTCTATCTCCCCGTGGTCGTGCTGCCACAACATGGCCTCTGCTTCACGAATCTGTTGACGAACGAGGTCCAAATTAGCTTCAAGCGGTGCTCTGCGTGCTTTGAAAGCCCTGGTCAGCATGTCGACACGAAAGTCTTCGTCATCCTTTTGTTGAACCAATTCCTCAAGTTCTGCCTGCATCTTCTCCCTGTCGGGAGTTCCATCTATAGTGATCTCCTCAGGCAACTCCACACGCATTGCGCTGTAGCCGTCGCGCGTATCTGCGGAAGAGACTGCCATGCTTCGACCGCCAGGATCTACATGCAAACTAATGCGGCTTTTGTCCGAACACCCGAATCCCATACACGTGCTGTAGAACTTTTCATATCATACGCACATGAAGGTGAGAGCATTTGATACGACTTAGGCTTGGGGTGTCGCGATACTGATGGGAGTGGCCCTGCACTTGAGATTCACGCATGAGCATTGGAGCAGATCACTCGCAAGCAGAACCAAACGAGCCCATCAATCTTCGGCGCACCATTGCCCTGGAGTCTTCAAGACGTAGTTCTAGCACGCGGTTATACAAGAAGTGTATCCGGGAGAAAGTCTTCCTTCCATAAATGAAAACGGGCCGGAGGCCTGCATGCCCTTCACGCACGCATCCGGGCAGTATCCTGGACAACTGGACAACAGCCGAGCGCACATTCACAGCTCAAGCCGGTGCGTCTTGTGCGAATCCTGCCAGCCTCACCGACCCGCCCCGCAAGAACACTTTCAAGCCCAGCCCATTTACTGCATTGCCTTCGCCTTCGCCGTAGCATGCCCAAGCGTACCTGGGGTCTGAAACCAGGGCTAACAAGCTAATATCCTGGACTGACGGAAAGTATGGGAAGTCGTGGCCAAACACCGGCAAAACGATCCTTGCTTTGAGTTTGTCCAAGCTGCTCGACATCACACGGAGGGCCGCCACTGCAATCATTCATGTTTCGCTCATTCGGCATGACGAGGTATATCCTGAATTTATCTGCAAACCCGAAGGGTCAGATTGGCAGCACAAAAGCAACATACTGCATCAAACAACAACAACAACAACAACAACAACAAACAAAAAAATATTGGACGTTGAGCGAGCGGGCTCTGCTCATAGCGGGGGACCCGGCTGTACAGAAATCAGAGCTTGGAGAAAGGGTGTGAGAGCCAGAATCACGGCCGTTGCGAGCCGTTGTCTCGACCGTGATTCGCATGGTCAAGGCGTTGCCCTGTTGAAAGCTCGGGCGTTGTCCGGCCTGAGTGAAAAGATGAATTGCATCAGCATGAATCCACAGAAAGCCACTTTTGTACAGAGACGCAGGGTGGCCAGTTCTTGTGCCTTCGCTTGGATGCCTCCGTCACGCTCAGTGTGAGCCAACGCGTCCGATGCTCACGAACCAAAGTCGGGTGGGTCGTATTCGATAAAGCGCGTCCCTGAGTGCCAGTCTAGTGGCGCTTTGTGGAAAAAGCCCTGATCTGGCCGAAACCCTGGTTTTCGGCTCGAGAATGGGGGCTTGGGCAAAAAGAGGTAGTGTAGCCTGCACCTTAACACTGCACCAAGTGATGATAAAGGCTACGGAAGCCTTCCTGCTCGTTGTCTTATAGACCAGCCTCGGCCAAGCTTTGTTGAGTGACATCGAGCCGAACCAGCAGAAGGTAACTTCCCTGTCGTGCTTGTCTCTCATGTCCCGTTCTGAGGCTGCTGCCGCAGGGCGACCATCATCTGTAGATTGCCAACCGTCGCTGCCAGAGGGCCTCCGCAATTTGCGGTAGCACCTTCTTCAAGGGAGTCGCCTACGTCGAAGACACAGGCCTGGACCCAACCATTCTGCCTCCTAAGCCCGATCTGTGTCCACTGCACGCAGCGTGCAATGAAACTTTTGACATCCAGCCAACTGCAGCACTAGATGAGGTTCCTGTCCCAGGAAGGCAGCCTGCGAAGGGCTTTCGTGCCAAAGTGACAGCAGCCCTTGACGCGATGCCCACCTATTGTGGGGCCGGGCCTTCCCACGCACAGGCACCCCACGGTGCAATCATGAAAGTACCCCGAAGGATAGGTCGGATTCACTGCTTGGAAAGGAAGAGTATGTAGCAGCCCTCCACTACCTGCTTTCTGTCTGAGGGTGCAGCTGCGTGTGGCCGCCTTGAGTCATCGCCGACATACAGACCTGCACGGCAAGAGCTGAACCAAAACGAGTGATAGTGTCCTGCGTGGGCCCAAGGGCCCAGGTGGCATACTCACCACTTGGTACGTGTACCACGCTCTGTTTTGTCCTTCTCTCCAAACTGGAAGGCGGACATGTTAGCTCAGATCTATTGCCGTATGCAGCTTCGCCCCTGAAGCCCACCTACCCAAGTGGAGGTGGGGCCCATAGCCTGCGCTGAAACGCTTGATCCCCCCAGGCTGCGCACAGTTGTTGCAGAGTCCTGCTGGTCTCAGCCATGGGCAAATAAAGAAGGGTTTCGCCCGTATCTGCGTGCTCCACAGAGCTGTCAGCGCGACCTTGCCAAGTCGTGGGATGTAGATCACGTCAACCACAAGGGCGGTGTAGAAATTCGGCCGCGTCCTGCTCCCAAACTTCCAATTTCGGAGGAGCGAGCGGACAGCAAAGAGGCTAATCGGATTCAGTGGCCTGGGCCCGACAAGACGTGGTCTCGCAGACCTAGCCACTGCTTGAATTCTTTGCGACAGGCTGCACAAGCAGGCATGCCATCCTTGGCATGTATCTCCCTTTGGAACTCCGACGGCATAAACCTCGGAATCTTCTCCCTGTGCATCTTGGCGACATGCATGTGCAGCTCGTGGGAGGAGACAACGGCCGTGGAACAGTCAGCACAAGGACGCGTCAGCCCTGAGTAAGTTCAGGCAATGCCTGGGCCTTTGCTAGTATGTCTCCGAGGCTTTGTAGAATCTCAGGCATGACCGTGACATCCGCGACGCCTGTATCTGGCAAGGTGGCCTAGGTAGACCACCCGTCCCTGGCTCAGCTTATTTGACTAGCACTCTGAACATTTGGCCGGATTCACTATGATGCACTCGCAGCGGCAGTGCTGACACTGCATCCTAGAGAGCCAGAATGAGTTTATGCGGGAAGCCTTGCGCTTGGCGCGATGCTTCCTGAAAAGCAAGTCTTGCCAAAAGAAAAGTCGATGCTTTGGCCCTATAAGGCCGGACTTGGAACGAAGGGCGCGGTGGCCCGTAAAATCGTCAGCGTAGCCCGTCAAGAACTTAAGCGGCAAGGAGTCCAAATCCAAGGAAGATCGGAGGAGGGAGCGCAGGCGGGCCAGCTTGGGAGGCTCCATGGTGGCGGTCAAGCTGTGGAGGCAGAGAGACCAGGGCCGAGAGCCGAGGTATGCTTTATGCCAGCTCATCGCAACCCGGATGACCAACAGGAGGATACACATTAGCGCGGCCCAGACCGGAGCGGACGGCCCGGATAAGAGGGAAATAAGGTCATCCACATAGATGAGGAGGGCGTGTCGGACATATACCAGGCGGTGAAGGAGGCGGGACAGCAGGCCGGCCATCCGGGCCCAGTAAAAACCGGAAGCGCGGGCACCAAAGTTCAGAGTGAGGCATTGATACAGGACCTCACGGTGAAAGAAACAAAGGAGGCCGCGGTCAGACGGACGGATGAGGATACGGCGATGTGCCTTACTGACATCCAAGATGAAAGCAAATAGTGCTTCCAGCGCGGGCCGGGCCGGAGCGCAACGTCGCAAACCAGATATGGTAGGGTTGGCGGATTTATTGGGGAGGGATGTGTGGTCGGTGACCCCGGAAACACTGCTGTCGACCACCAAGCGGGGGTCTCGATCTGGAGCCCTGACGAGACCAAGTTTGCCAATCGCTGACCGGTAATAGTTGGCTTTTAGGGCAGCTAATCCGCCTGGGACCGGCTGGGCCCAACCCTCACGAATCTCCGAATCCAGGAGGGAATCCACGGTTTGAGGATCGGAGAGAGCGGAACCCCAAACAGACTCACAATGTTGAAGTGGAACCTTGGGAGAAACTGGTGCGGAAAGCGGAAACAGGGCCGGGCAAGAAGGCATGGCTTCATCAACACCCAGCGGAACTCCCTCCACCAAGAGGTCAATGAATGATATGTCTGGGTCCCTGGACACTTCCAGCAGGGCCTCGAGTAGGAAGAGACGGAAAGGTTGACCCGGAGGGACACACAGCAAGGTTTGAAACTCCCGATCGGATAACCTCAAAAAGGATCGCAGGTCTTCAAGGAAAGGAAGTAAGTCCATATCCGAAAGCGGAGGGTCTTTGGAACCGGATGCCAGGTGTGCACGGAATTTCCCAAGGAAGTCAGGACGGGTAATTCGCTGCATCCAGGCCTGACGCAGCTGCTTAAATGCATCCTCACCATGGGGGACGGACCAGGATCCGGTAGAGCAGGAGCCTGCTCCGTCTTCAACACGAGATTCCGGGATTGGCCAGCTCAGCTTTGGCGCGAGGAGACGTTTTTCCCATTCCAGGAAAGGAATCACACCCACATATTGCGAAAGGAAGGGGGAAAGAATGGCGGCCAGGCGTGAGCACAGAGATGCAGGGTAACACGCCGTGTGCCGTGTAAGAAACTGGCCTGATGCATCACGGAGCCCAGAAATAGCAGCATGGGAGCCTTTAGGATGTTGGCAGGAAGACGCCAAGGCGGACAGGTCGGATAAGTTGGAAACAAAAGTCCATGACTTTAAGACATCAAGGCCGTGATTGCAGGCGGACACCTCCACAGCGGAGAGGCAATGATGGCGGATCCAAGAAAGGCAACACGGATGGTGCCACAACAGGCTCGTAGATGGGTTTTCCAAAATAGCAATACCCCCGTTGACGAGAATCAGGGAAAGCAACTCGCGCGTAAAAGCGTGGAGCTGATCCGAAATCTGAAGTTCGGACTGCTGTTTGGGGCTAGGTTTAGGGATACCCTGGGGGTGCTTAGGGGTACGAACCGGCGCGGGCCCCCCGGGACGCAAGCGAGCGGCTGAAACTAGAGCAGGGAGGGCCGGCGCAAACCACGCGAACCAGGCCGGAGCAGCAAAGACGCTTGAGGGATTCCTGATGGACTGGATCCAGAATGTCGATTTGTTCACCGAACAAAGCATCCACCGGAGCGACACGGTCGCAGCCTAGTTCACTGAGGGCCGTGCTGAGTGGAGCAGAGGCACCTGCAAACAAGTCCAGGAACAGAGCCGGTTGGATAGCCGCCGGTTTTGGGCTGGCAGGGGTAAGGTTGGGGGCGGAAGCGGGTGGAGCGGTGCCC